GTGAAATCTCATGTCGGTTGGAAAGGGAAACGAAACATTTTTATAATACAAATGGTATCAGAGCCACCAAGCAGCGTGCCAACAAGGATGACGACTGGGCCTCCAAGGGGGGTGGATTGTGAGATCTCATGTCAGTTGGAAAAGGAAACGAAACATTCTTATAAGAGTGTAGAACTTCTCCTAATTGATGCGTTATAAAAACTATGAGGCTAACAACTATACGTAACGGGCCAAAGCAAACAATATCAGATAGTAGTGAACTTGGGGCTGTTACAATTCTCAACGCAGATCATCAATCATGCATAAACAGAGGAAGAGAGAGAGAGAGGTGTGCATGCAGACCTGACATGGAGTGTTAGCCATGTGCCCAAGTTTCATTTTCAGCTGCTCATCACTAAGGTCAGAGCTGAACATGTCATCATCCCCCATGTACGAGCAAATGGAATAATACCTGCAAATACCTAATTGCTTTCAAGAGTACTGATAACAAAACTACCTTCCATCTACGTTCAAAATGAAAGCATTGTGATCTTATACACACCTGTTAGCAGTTATTGGAGAAGATGGGCTTGCTTCTCTTGGCATCAGATATGATCCTCTACCTTCGCTTATCATAGTTGAAGCCAAGTCAATCATGGCTGCTGTTTCAGGAAGAGTTGATCTATACTCTCGACCACTAACTGGAGCCTGACCATATAAACAAGAATCCTGACTAAAACTTAAACATCACACATAAAATCAAGGATTAGTTATTACCTGGAAAATGGCGCCGCGAACTGCTCGAGAGCAAGCTGCATTTGTACCAATATAATGGACTATATCCTGTAGCAATGTCCCAAGAACATAGCGGCTGATCAAAGCTTCAACTACAGTATAACTATATCCAAGCTCATTACTAGCGGACATTATTTTCTTTGGACTTTTTCTTTCGAACTTACCCTCAAGATTTTTAAAAGTTGTCTCCTAGGGAGAGGTTTCCACACCCTTATAAAGAATGCTTCGTTCTCCTATCCGTCCTTGTTGGCACTCGTTCCTTTCTCTAATCGGTGTGGGATAGCACAATCTACTTCCCTTCGGGGCTAGCATCTTCACTGTCACTCGTTCCTCTCTCCATTCAATGTGGGATCGCACAATTCACCTCCCTTCGGAGCCCAAGGTCCTCGGCACCTATTCCTTTCTCCAATCAATGTGGGGCCTAGGGTCCTCAACACTCGTTCCTCTCTCTAATCGATGTAGGATCACACAATCCACCTCCCTTTGGGACCCAGGGTCCTCGGCACCTGTTCCTCTCTCTAATCAATGTGGGGCCTAGGATCCTCGACACTTGTTCCTCTCTCTAATTGATGTGGGGCCTAGGGTCCTCGACACTCGTTCCTCTCTCTAATCGATGTGGGGCCTAGGATCCTCGACACTCGTTCCTCTCTCTAATCGATGTGGGGCCTAGGGTCCTCGACACTCATTCCTCTCTCTAATCGATGTACGATCGCACAATCCACCCCCCTTTGGGATCCAGGGTCCTCGACACATGTTCCTCTCTCCAATCGATGTGGGGCCTAAGGTCCTCGACACTCGTTCCTCTCTCCAATCGATGTAGGATCGCACAATCCACCCCCCTTTGGGACCCAAGGTCCTCAGCACCTGTTCCTCTCTCCAATCGATGTGGGGCCTAGGGTCCTTGACACTCGTTCCTCTCTCTAATTGATGTAGGATCGCACAATCCACCCCCTTTTGGGACCCAGGGTCCTAGGCACCTGTTCCTCTCTCCAATCGATGTGGGGCCTAGGGTCCTCGACACTCGTTCCTCTCTCTAATCGATGTAGGATCGCACAATCCACCCCTCTTTGGGACCAAGGTCCTTGACACGTGTTCCTCCCTCCCATCGATGTGGGGCCTAGGGTCCTCAACACGTGTTCCTCCCTCCTCACATAAAAAAGGACAATATCTAATATCTACTACCAGCTGTTACATAAGAACATTAAGCAACATTGAGCAATTACCTGACAGCCAGTACTATGTCCAAGTAACACAACCCCCTCAGAGTCTTCTTTGTTGATCAGATAACTTACTAGCTGATCAAGCTCCTTAGCATCCTAAATCGAATCAATTTCCTTTTGTTAAAATATAATCATCAAGTCAAGAACCAACTTCAAGTCTATGGTAATGTTAACTTACTTGTTGCAAGCTGGAGGTACCATATCCATTATACGATGATGACAAAAGTATCTGAACAAGTGACCATTCTTCTTTATCCAAAGCAATTGCAAGAGGTTCCAAATATCTGCAAATCAACAACAAAAACACGTTCATTTTAATTTAAGCCCAATCGTGGAACAACCCTCCACAAAAAACATACTCTGTTGCCATAAAGCCATCACTCAATCCACCAATAAATATAACTTGCTGTTTGTAATCCCCCGTCTTAAATGCAACCTATAACATAAAGGACATGCTTAACAAGGCATCATACACAGATAGCATAAATTTTTCAATAGCTCCAAAGAACAGAAAAATTCTCATGAACAATGAAAGATCGACGGACCTGAATCGGCTTGGGACCATACTTGAAGAGCAAGCCATGGAAATTGTTCTTTTTCACGATAGGACCAGGGGAATCCTCGGCAGGAGAGCCGGAGGCAGAGTTCGCCGATGTTTTCATGCTGGCTGAACTATCGAAACGGCCGCGAATAATGACAGAGATCCATGAAGTGGTTGCCGACGACGAGGAGGAAGAGGAAGAAGAAGATGTAGAAACGGCAGGATTTGAAGGGGGGGAGGAAGAAGAAAGCGAGAGATTCATGTCAGATATCACCGGCTCCGATCTAAATCATTGCCGTTAACATTCTTTGTTCGATAATGGTGGGATAATCGGAAGAAATGGAAGAAGGGTTTGTTCAGATTGGGTTGGATCGCCATGAGAAGAGGAAACAAGATGGCCTTCGGCTCCTATTCCCCGCCGAAAACATGAACAATCTGAACCAACGCGTGACAATTTCAAACATTATTTTTCTTTTTTCTTTTTATTTATTTATGAATATTTAGTTTTATAATATTTAATATTATAAAATATTACGAAATGGGCCAGTGGCTACGGTCAATGGGCCAGTGGGCTAATGGGTGGCTACGGACACTGACGCTCATGCATTGGGCCATCAACAAAAATGGAGAATTTGGGCTATTCCTACAATTGCTTGAAATATAGCTAAATGTTAAAATAATAATAAATAAATAAAACTGAAATGTTAATTTAATTATTTAAATAAAGGCTTAATTTCAATAAATTAATTTCAATAAATGTATGAATCTTAAGGTTGATGCGAAACGTGCTTTAATGAGTTCTAATATGCAACGTCAAGCAGTCTTGCTTTCTCGGTCGAAAAAGTGCATTGTTGGAACTGGGTTGGAACGCCATGTGGCTCGAGATTCAAGGGTTGCTGCTATAGCCGAACACGGGGAAAGATTATTTATACCGAAAAAAATACTATTTGACCCCTTAACCCGTCAGCCAAAATTTTTATAAAATGTACAATATTATATTTTTACCTTCAATTTTTATACGTATTATAAATGTTCGTGTTAGTCAAATGAAGGTGTTAAGAATGAAATAGAATTGGAATCGAAGGCGTGAATTCTTATTGATATTCATAACCTTTAAATATGATACAAGCTACCAACTAATATCTCCGAATAAGAAAAATATAAACTAATTAAAAGGAAAGAATATTAAGAGATAATATCTCATATATATTTCATAACTAATATATTCTTCAAATATTATATCTCAATCGAACGGAGATGGAAGAGTATATTTATAATTTTTAATTATATTGAGCAAGAAAGAGTATAAATAATTCTAAATGACTCCGATAATCTTTTGTTTGTTCGTTGGAAACTAAATTAGCTGAGCTAAGCTTAATTACTTGTCGTTAATGATAGCATTAAGAAAAACGATAAACGTTGGATGATAAATTACTCCTGTCGGTGACAGGTCGGTCAGCACGGACCATTTATATTCAATTTTATTTGACTTATTTAATTTTTAATAAATAACAAACAATTTTTTTTTTTTATTTTACGCGGTTTTCTAGCTGTGATATACCTAGAATTCATGCATGTTTCCATTTGGGATACAAACAAGCAAACAAAATAAATAAATAAATGAAGGAAAAAGCGGATGTAGTCGGAGTGGTAAATTGGTCGGTACACACCTTGATTTTGGAAGATATGATAGTTAAAGTTGTAGGGCTGATCGTTAATGTCTCGAGCCATTGAAGCAGCTCGTAAGGCTATAATCGGATAATTCCGAAGAAGTGGTAAAATATAGATAAGAATTCTCGCTGATCTTCTTGTGATCGAGAAACCTATGGGAATCCTACGGATTGGATTGCTCGTGTGTTCATGAGACATATCTCGTTTGAAATCTCATTAGCGGTGCATAAATTATATTTATCAATCATGTAATCGTCAAGAGTATTGAAAAAAAGAGTGGAAAGTCGTTAAATGGGTGAGGAATTTAGAATCTCTCTTTCTAAAACTTTTTGAAAGAAAATCATCTCGACTTTTACTCCTAATTTTATTCCAAATAAAGGTTAAACTTTTACAAAAGGTTTGATTTTGATTTTTGACTCAATTTTTTTTTTAATAAATAGATTTTCTTTCTAGAAAGACGGGTTCAGTGGAGACCACTTTGAGCGTGAGTGGAGTATCAAGTTCGATTCGAAACAAAATATTTCACTTTTGACACGTGTGTGTCGTAAGAATAATTCGGGTTTGATAATATCACTGTCAAAGTGGTTGTAAGCCACAATACGGTTGATTTGTTCATCAATGGTGATTGATCGTGAATGTAGTTTTCGTATGGTGCAAACCGATACACAAAATGAAATTTAAAAAAAAAAAATTAAAAAATGTAATAAAATATTCCAAAATCCAAATGATATGATATATATTGATGAATAAACAAAAATACAGCTCATTCGTTTCCACAGATACACAAAGCGAAGTGAAAAGACCAAAAACTCCATACGAAGAGGCTTTTAATACACACGGGGGTGGGGGTAAGTGGGTCCGACTTCTCAAAACCACCCAATGATAAAGTGCCAACAAGACAAGTGCATTGAAGCTGATGTAGCCGCATCACACAGAATTATCCAATTTATTTTTCCTTTTTTTAAGAAAAAATTATTTTAAACTTTTAAAAGCAGGCCGAGATTTATAATTTTCCTTTTAAAAATATATTATCCGTACGGCCGCCAATTTTAAGTACTTAACGACCTGACAGTAACGTTTGTCAGTCCCAAGTGGTAATTTTTTGCTTTCGAAAGTTTTTAAAAACTTTCCTTTTTGTGTTTTTCTTTTAAAATTACCGAAGCCCAAAAAAAGGAAAAAACCAAAATTATTTTTTTAAAAAAAACGTAAAATCATAAGCTTGCCACGTGGCATGCTGAGCGGCGCCGTTGATTCTGTGGGGTTGACTTTTTTTTTTTACTTTCAACGACTGACGGCGGCGACGAGAGGGGCCGCCTCCGGCGAGACAATGGGGGTGGTGATAAGGCGGCTGTCGTCGGTGAGGAATTTGTCAACGATCCTCAAGCTCGGTTGAAGAACGAATTTATCCCATGCGTCATTGGGGTTCCCACTGTTGGTCAAAAACGCTCCGGTGGCATCAAGACGCCGGAGATTCCAATTCCGTTTATTACGAAGGCGGCGAATCTTCTGTAGTTGCCGGAGAGCCAATTGGCATGTATTGTCTTTAATCTTGGAAATGGCTAATTCAAGAAGAATTGTCAAAGTTCTTTGGTCAGCACCGTCGCGTTCTGCTCTTAAATAGTCGTGTAATTCCGGTACTCCAATAGCTCGTTTAATTCCACGAGAATAATCTCCTTCCGGATCAAAAAATTCCCTAACTTCACCGACGAATCCACCGTCGACCATCCGATCAACACGGTCGGAAACAAACTTTTGAAGAATCGGCAAGGACACATCGACCCACAAAAAACAAAACTCATATCGAAATCGAGACTCTGCCCAATCATCAACCAGAGCTTCAATGTAAGAATTGGAGCCGCCGGCGACAATCGGGAGACGATCACGAGCCAAAATGGATTCAATAGCAACAGAGGCATGATATGTAAAATCATGAGAAGAGAAATTTGAATTCGGGTCAATTGAGCCCAACAAATGGTGAGAAACTCCCCGGCGTTCTTCATCGGTGACTTTGTTTGTGACAACATCCAGCCCTTCGTACGCTTGAATCTTGTCCGAGTTCACAATTTCCGCCGGAAATCGAGTGGCTAAGTCGATTGCCAACCGAGATTTACCCGTTCCGGTGGCTCCCATTACAATAACCACCTTCTCTTTCCGCCGGAAAAACTGCTCCATACTGAAACTCCCCTGAAAATTCCCCACCAGTGGTTGAACTTGCTTGCCGACGGCAGAGGACAACGACAATGCCATATTCATCAAATACCCTGTTAAAAAAAAACCAAACCCAGATGAAAAAACGACAAATTTAATCGACCCATTTCATTTATTTTGATTATAATCTTGTTTTTACACATTTTAGCGACAGTACCTGAGAGAGAAGCCTCGAGTGTTATGGTTTGTCGAGTGGTTGGAGAGTAACTGAAAGAGCTTAGCTTATGAAATTGGGAGTTTTGTGGGTTTCTTAGACAATGATGTATATCACATTATCTTCCTTCTACCACTCTCTTAGACCCTCACTTGGCTCAATCCTAATGGACTACACTTGGTATTTATGCCTGCCCAACACACCTCTTATTCCAAATATCTCCCGGGTTGACTTTGGTACGGACATAATCTCTCATCGCTTCAGTTTAAAATAACGAAAGCATCTTTATCGGTCAAATTCAATCTCATGTCATAACATGATATTGTCGAAGAAAAAGATTCGAACCTTCGTTAGCAGATATAAATACAGTAGTTTCGAATTCAACATGTGATGTCTCCAATGTTATACTCTCATAACAGCTCAAACCCGGCACTAATAAATATTGTCTCTTCTCTCTCCAACCCATGTGGTATTTCACAATCTACCCCTTTAGAACTCAGCTTCCAAGTACTCATTCCCCTCTCCAATTAATTGTGATATTCTATAACAGTTGGAGAGGGGAACAAACCATTCGTTTTAAGGATATAAAAACAGTATAAAAGCCCAAAAACAGATATGGGATTGAGCTGATACAATTGTATCGATGGTAACATGGTCACGTTACCTACTTAACCAACACAAATAATTATAGTACGTTATTAATTATATATTTATAAATAAATAAAAAAGAAAATGGCATTAATAGTAATCAACCATCAGTGTAAGAGAATAATAATAAAATGATTACACCAAATAGAATCATGATTAATAGTAATAAATATTCGATTTATTTTATAAAAAAAAAACAAATCTAGAAGAATTTGAAACCCTAAATAAAATTTGAACTTAATATTATTAAGTTTTGAAAATCATATATTTAAAAATAAATTATAATATTCCCAATTAAAAATTAAGAAATTAATTTTATTTTAATATATATATTTATTGGTATTTAAAAAAATGGGTGGGGGCCAGTTGTTTTTGGCAAAAGCAGTGGGCAAAAACAAATTTTCATTTATAGTGGTTTAGGATGCTCCTGTTTTTGTTTATTTTAATTAATCTGATTTTAGTGAAGAGACATTAGTTATTAATTTAATTAACACACATATTAATATAAATATTAAACCCTCACTAATCACTTTGATTTTCTATAATAATGTTGATTAATATCGCACATAAAAATAAAAATAAAAATAAAAATCATTTTTAACATAGATGTTAACGAATTTTTTTACAAAAATGTTTTGTTATTATTCGCACGTTTTCTAGTACAATGCTCGAGAAATCACCCCGTATAGGAGGATTGCTTCAAGCTAAATGAATTAAAAAGTTTGACCGTTCTTTTAGACATTTATTAACCATTGTATTTTTAAAAGCACGAGTATCTGTTAATTGCCTATTAGTAGGGGAAGTAGCATAGGTGGCAGGAACTTACTAGGGTTTAGATACTAATTTAAAGAGTATTCGTTTACCTCTCCTTAAAGGGTCGAGAGCTGCCAGTCCTAAAGGTACCACACTAACAGCGTCATTCCATCCTGATATGAATCCCTACCTCCCACAACCGACCCATCATTTCTCAAGTTGATTTTTTAGGCGAGCATAGGTGGATTACCTCTCTTAACAGGGTCGAGAGCTTCCAGTTCTAGAGGTACCACACTAACAAGGTCATTCCAACCTAATATGAATCCCTACCTCCCACAACCAACCCATCATTTCTCAAGCTAATTTTTAAGGGGAGCACAGGTGGATTACCTCTCTTTACAGGGTTGAGAGTTGCCAATTCTAGAGGTACCACACTAACAGTGTCATTCCAACCTGATACGGATCCTTACCTCCCACAACCGACTCATCATTTCTCAAGCTGATTTTTTAAGCGAGCACAGGTGGATTACCTCTCTTTACAAGGTCGAGAGTTGCCAATCCTAAAGGTACCTCCCACAACCAAGCGAGCACAGGTGGATTACCTCTCTTTACAGGATCGAGAGCTGCCAATCCTAAAGGTACCACACTAACAGCGTCATTTCAACTCGATACGAATCCCTACCTCCCACAACTAACCCATCATTTCTCAAGTTGATTTTTTAGGCGAGCACAAGTGGATTACCTCTCTTTACAGGGTCGAGAGCTGCCAGTCCTAGAGGTACCACACTAACAACGTCATTCCAACCTGATACGAATTCCTACCTCCCACAACTGACCCATCATTTCTCAAGCTGATTTTTTAGGCGAGCATAGGTGGATTACCTCTCTTTACAGGGTTGAGAGTTGTCAGTCCTAGAGGTTCCACACTAACAGCGTCATTCCAACCCGATACAAATCCCTATCTCCCACAACCAACCCATCATTTCTCAAGCTGACTTTTTAGGCAAGCACAAGTGGATTACCTCTCTTTACCAGATCGAGAGCTGTCAGTCCTAGAGGTACCACACTAACAGTGTCATTTCAACCTGATACGAATCCCTACCTCCCACAACCGACCCATCATTTCTCAAGCTAGTAGAGACACAAGCAAAAGCAAACCCCGTTATCACTTTTATTCGAATAATATCTCAATTTCCATCTTTTACTCGAGTGTCGAAACTTTTTTCAATTATTCTGTGGATTTCCAATTTTGTTGAGTGACAGAAAGTTGAGAGAGGCATCTTGGAACCGAACAAAAATATTTAAATGTAAAGTCCCACAAATTTGATTGACAATTAATATTTAAATAATTTATATATTCATAATACTTTATTCTCTTTGCACTATAACATTAGTAGAAACCACATTAGATTCGATAATTAGTTTGTAATCCTTATTTATTTACATATAATTAATAAACTAATCTTAATTATAATGAACAATTAAAATTTAGTTCTTGTGGACCCCACCATTCTTTAATGGAAACATCATTTAACAAGAACTGTCTTTTCTTTCTTTTTTAGTGATATTTCTTATTCTTTTCCAGCTTTAAACAAGCTTAGTGGGTCACTTTGATTAAATGATTGAATAATTATCTCAATATCATATACTAAAAAAATTATAATCTTTGACCTATAGTTTTAACCATATAATAAAAAAAAAAATCAAAATCAAAATGGGAAGAGCACGTGCGATGGGCCCAGTAATGATTAGGAAATGAAATTATTAAACATTATCTTATACCACTAATAATCGTAATCCTTGCTACCAACTTACTTTAGTCAAACATATAATTAAAGCCTTTATATTTATTGGATTTTTTTTTTAATCCCAATATTAGGTGGAAATCCTATTTATATAAACTTTCGTTACTAATCATATCAGAGCTAGGCACCTGGTATGTCAGCGATGACGCTGAGTTTCAAAGAAGTAGATTGGACAGTGAGAACGTTATGTCACGGTAATATATAACGAGCTGAAGCAGACAATATAATAATTTTAAATTTTGGGACGGGATCAAGTGGGGTTTTGATATTGATGAAGGCATTTAAAGGGGGTTTGAAATTGAATGGCCAAGTGGGTTCGAATCATTTGGGAAATGATGGTTTGCACTCTTATAAAGTTTTTTTTGAAGAAATAATTATGATAATCAATAATGATATGAGATTAAAAGACATATATGAAATTAAATATATTATACACTTGACTTTATAGTATAATAAATAAATGTCGCCGACGATCTAGCCACACATAATCTAGTTCATGTGCACTTTTGAACGTCTCTTTCCTATTCTTAAGTGTGACCTTATTTTTATTCAAAGGACATTTCTAACTTTCTTTTTTAAAAATATAATTATTTAATATTTTAGAGTGTTCGAACTAAGTTAAACAAAATATAAATTCTTTTTTTAAGTCCAAGATTCAAATTATGGCCGTAACAAGACTATCTCTTCAAACTGACACGACACAAGTCAGGAGTTACCCAATATAAAATTGTTCCAAGAAAAACATGTTCAGCCAAAAATGATAGCAAATCTTGTTGGTATAGTTAATGACTTTCATATGTGGTCTGGGTTCGTTCGTATACTCCTTTACTCGGGTATCACATGTATCAAGAGAGATGAGTGCCCAATCTTATAATATAGGATTATCGAGAAATTCGTTAGATTTTAATATCTTAAATAGGTGACCACGTTCCTTTCGGTTGTTGACATTCTTAGAGAATTTTAAGAATGATGTTAATTTGAAATTTGATTTTTTTTTATTTTTAAAATAAAAAAGATAGACCATAGTCTATTTACTTGTTGTTATTAAAATTAATCTCAAAATCGTAATTTAATTATAATTTTGGAGACAAAATATTAGTGGTAAAAGAGTTTAGTAATAATTAATAATTAATAATTAGAATAAAAATAGTAATTTTTTAAATATAAGTTTAAAATTTATTAATATATAACCTATCAAACTACAAGAGAATAGTCCAAGTGAGGACAATTCAAAGACTATTTATTTTTATTTTTTAAATAATGGATATGTTAATTAATATTTAAAAAAAAAAAAAAAGTGGTCGTGAAATAATAGAATATTAGCTAAGACAAATATTATAATATGGTCAAATATTAATATTAGGGTTCCCATGCGAGAATGGAATCTTGATTATGCCTTCAAATATAAAATTTAGTGGTGCAGCTAACTTTATAAAAATTAAACAAATTAATTTCCCTAACTTTTTTATTTTATTGTATTATATAAATAAAATAATGATTGGGCTGCCACGTGGATCCCAATATACTAATACGGGTCGGTTCTAAAAAGCCCATAATAGATTATTTAGAGATAATTACACAAATGGACCCTAGACTAATACATAATTAAAAATAAGTCCATCAATAAATAATATTTCAAATTTGTTATTTCTTTTTTGTTTTCTTTTTCTTTTTAATTTTAAAATTCGAATTCCTAAGCTCCTTTTTCCTTAAATATATTCCAACTTGTAATTTTAATATCCTATTCATTTTTTTTTTCATTTAATAATAATTTTTAATTATTTAGAAATTCGTTTTCAAGCTGGTCATCCAACGACCGATGTTTGAATGCAACCTAGCGTTATCATTTGGCTATTGATGGATAAGTTATTAGACCTGCGGTCATCGTCATTGGCTTCATAACTCTAATAAATTAGATAGCTAAGAAGGTCATCCTCGATTACCCCTTTACGAGTTTCATCATAACCAATCGTCTTTTATGACCACACTTACTGTTTGCTCTTGATTCAACACACTTCCACTTTAGTGTCCGAGTCGATACTCTTATTTTCTCTCGAACCATAATAGTAATATTTTTTTTTTTTATCAAATCATTGAATTATTTATTTCTCTTGAAATTTCTCTTCAATGTTTATTTTTACACACGTCGTTTTTTCGGGAGCCTACAGCCATTATGTGGCATAGGGGTTACATCCCGTATGAAACTTAAGAGTATACCGCTTCTACGAATAGCTCTTAACGTTGCATCTCTTCCCAGACCAGGGCCCTTTATCATGACTTCTACTCGTTGCATACCTTGATCTGCTACTGCCCGAATAGCATTTCCTGCTGCGGTTAGAGCAGCAAATGGTGTCCCTCTTCTTGGACCTTTGAATCCACAAGTACCAACGGAGGATCAAGAAATTACCCGACCCCGTACATTTGTAAGAGTCACAATTGTATTGTTGAAACTTGCTTGAACATGAATAACGCCCTTTAGTATTTTACGCGTACTTTTACGTGAGCTAATACGTCCATTTCTACGTGAACCGATTCTTGCTATGGGTTTTGCCATATTTTATCATCTCATAAATTTAAGTCAGAGATATATGGATATATCCATTTCATGTCAAAACGGATCCTTTAATTTCTTTTTATGTGTATATCGTGGGTGGCCTTTAGGGGTCCTTTTTTTATAAAGATTATCCTTGTCTTTGTTTATGTCTCGGATTGGAACAAATTACCATAATTCGTCTCCGCCTACGGATCAGGCGGCATTTTTCACAAATTTTCCGAATGGAGGCCCTTATTTTCATATTTGTCATTCCTTACCTTAATTCCGAATCCCCTTATTGGAAGAAAATAAGTTTCTTGAAATTTTCAATTTCGAATTGTATCCCTACAAAAAAGAATATTGCAAGTCAAAAGACTACTTCACCTAATCATTCGAATCTTTGTTTCGTAGTCTCTAAATTATACGCCCTCTGGTTCTGGTTGAATCCTAACACCTNACCACAGACCTGGCCAATGTTACTTCATTTGACTTCAACAAAGCATCAACAAAATAGGAACACTAATTTATAATTCATACAAGAATAGAGAGAGCATGAATTGAATACATGAAAAAGAAAAAAAATGTGTAATCCTAATAGGCCAATGGTTTCCCTTGCCATTTGCTGCTTCCCATCGCTCATCGTTCATCGTTCGGGTCAATATAACCTTTGCTTCACACGTCTTCCGTTCAGATCGCTGCCATCTAAAAAGGTCATATTCCCGAATCCAGAAGCGAGGACGTTGTGCTCGGTCACTCTTGCCACATATTGTAGTAGCTCAGTAAGAACAGCTGGGCAGCTTTCCTTGAGATAATCGAATCCGTCCGATTGCATCACGGCTGCAAAGTTACTAAAATTCTTTTAGACTTTTGATGTTTGTAACCAAATCTTTGTTGAAAAAGGTTTATGAACATTAACAGACTATCAGCATCTCACAAAATAGAAAGGACGTGGAATGAATCATGAGCCACAGCATGTGATCATTGTTCTACACAAGGTTACGTTTTGTAGTCCAATGCTATTAGAAACCAAATCTTTGTTGAAGAAGGCAAGCATGCTTACAACAAGATTTGCCCTTCCCCCATAGGGGGAACTCATAAGCACCTCCTCCAACCCAACAACCAGCTACCATCCTGGCTGGATGATCCGCTACTGAACCGAAACCTTCTTGCTTTCGCTCATGAATCAGATTGAGCTCCGAATCAAGGGTCCTAACCGAGTCCGACTGACCTTCTTTGGCTGGCCCCCGCCTTATTCGCCTCGTAACCTCGGGCTCATAGCTTCGCTCCTGAACCTCCACTCATCCCAAACAAGGTTATCCTACAACAAATGCTCAAGGTCCTCCCCATGTCTTCTGCAGAGAATGCGCCATTGCCGAAGCAAATCAAAGGAAGAATGCCTTTGGATATGATCCAAGGTGTTCACTTATGAATATAAAATCTGTATGCAAACACCTTAACCTTCTTTCAAATTTTAACTTGCTTGAGAGCAATCAGGGTGGGAGAAGGGAAAGGCAAAATAAGGAAGAATGTATGGCTTGAGCGAGACGGGAGCTTGAGGTTATGAAACTCGGCCAAGTAGTTGAGGTTTATCTTCCTTGAGTTTGACACGTTGTGCCGACGGAGTTACCTTCCTCTAGTCCTTCACTTTCGTTAGGTTTCTAAAGGCCTCTGTCTGACAAAGAAGCAAAATGTTGGGTCTTTATTCTATCCCGCATAACATTCAGGCGTGCCCTAGGAGAAGATTAAGATGCTTGCATGGCAGGTTTTACATGAGAAAGTGAATACCGATCGTTTCCAAAGGCATTATTCCTTCGTTTCGTGTTAGCAATGGTACATTATCTGCAAAAGAGGCATTGGAAGGGGACCCTTGAGTACTTATTATGGGATAGCTAGTTTGCTCAATTTCTTCGGAATCAGAACCTTGATTGGCGTGAGTAGAGCTTGAGATAGGGACGGTAGCTCCTTGTTGGAGGTGCTTATGAGTTCTTCCCTTTGGGGGAAGAGCAATGCCCAAAATATCAACAAAATGTTTGAAATAAACAATGCTACACAATGAAACCTTCAATCATCTCCAATCATCTCCAAAACATCCATATACCTGTCACCTGACCTTAACCCAACTCCATCACTTCAAACAATCCAGCCCACAGAACTAGCTGGCATGTCTATATTTGCAGATAAATATTGGTCACAAGACCATGCCAGGGAGCCCAGCTCAACAGTAAATAGAAAAACAGGACTAACCCAACAACCTATATCATTTGACAGTAAGTCTAAGAGATTTTCAGTTTATGCTAAATTGACAGCCACATTTTACTCGTTTCAACAGCTATGGAGGCTAAGAAGCAGAGAGGAGAAACCAAAGAGCATGAACCGTAAGAAGCGAGTCCAGTTTCATGGGCATACCTTTTAAGTTTTCAGGCATGGCTATAAATCTGAGGCATGCAGCTTTCAATTGGAAACAATGGTGCTGCTCTGCTAAAGCTAAAGTAGTCGCCACAGTATTTATGGCGATGTCTTCACAGAGTTTAGCCTCACAAAGCAATTTAAGCCTGTCTAATGCATAACGATCTGCAGCTGCAAGAAGATGTTGAGCCATCAAAGTTGATGCCCACCTAGAGTTTGCACCAACAAGCTCAAGCATGTCCGGTAAATTGTCCCAGTACATGAAATGAAGTAATGCCTGCAGATTCCAATAATAAAAAGAAACGAATAAAAAAGAAATTCAGAGTTATGCAATATACTTTATGCAAAGTTCTTCCCTTCCCCCATCAGCAGTGGTAACGTTTTACATTAACAGTTTACAAGGATTTGGCACACGTTATAGGGGCGTAGTTTGCCCGTAAAAGAAACTATCGTGCTATGCAGGTAAAGGTTCTTTGAATCCCCGATTACAGCTCTTGAGAGTTGGTTCAGAAAAAAGATTATAAATTATTAATGAAGTTCATTCCATAAGGCTCCTATCACCCTATATTGAAATAAAGCATTTATTGCTCGCTGAGAAGTGTAGTGCATGGAATTTAGCACAATAACATGCTTGAGGCTCTGCATGTGACTAAATGCACCTATCTGCCTGTGTATGAAAGAGATAGAGTGAGAAAGAGAAAGAACCTTAAATACAGGAGCTTCAATGTCCTCAACCTTAATGCATCGAGTATCCTTATCCTTCAATGGGCCAAAAAGTTGTGCCCTGAATACAGGTGAACGTGCTGCAATGACCAACTTGTGTGCTGGAAATATTTCACCATCAACTTCAAAATTAACATCTGCACACTTACGACTCTCCAAAAGCTTCCCAAATTGCTGACCGATGTCGGAGGGAGGCGCTGTTATAGAATAGATTTTAGGCCCCTCCGTTTGTGATTTAACAACCCCAACAACACATTTAAATGAGAGGCAATCATCTTTAAGGTAATCTGATGACTCCAGAACCGTTCTTTTGAAATAACGTTTATAACCCCTGCAAATTCACGAGTTATATCCCCCTTTTCAGCCTTCATACAATCGTGCAATTGAACATTCATATCAACATAAAACATGCTATTGAAGGGACCTAAGAATATAGTACAGACTGAATGTGACAGAATGGAAAGATGAGAGAGAATTCACAAATCCACAAACACATTTTCATTCATCAAACTCAATAAATAAATAAGCCATAGATGACTGACATAGTCTAAATGAGATATTTAGATCCACAAATAATCCATTGGACTCATTAGATAGAGATATGGTCCTACCAGAAATAAAAACCAACTAACATCCATATAGAACATTAAATCCATAAACCATCTAAAACCAGCTAGTCGACAAACATACTATGCTGAACCTTCCCCGAATCATAGCACTACATTCTATATCTACCACTTTAGAACATAGATTGCATTTCATTCTCCATTTTGTGGCAGAAGGGTGAGTGTGTTATTTTGTGGAGCTTTGGGTGAAGAGAAACAACAAAATCTTCAAAAGGCGTGAGAGTTCTTGCGATGTTTGGTCTCTTGTTAGATTCTATCTGGACTTCGGTTCCTAGGCTTTTTTGTAATTATTTGCTCGACTTATTTATCTTGATAGGAGCCTGTTCTTGTAGCTTGGCTTCTAATTCGTGGATTCTTTCATTTTTTACTCGATGAAAGTTAAGTTTTCACATTAACTTTTTTTAAAAAAAAAAACCTATATCTGCCACCGTCATATATTGAAGGATGATACTTCTTTGTGGTTGGAAAGTCTATACATGAAGACCGTTAGCAAATGAAGCAAAACAATATTTCTAGTAGTTTGGCTCAAAGGATGGTTGTCTCGGTATCTCATTTCTTCTATGATAACCATGAGCGTGCAGGTTCACATACATCCTTGGTCCTAGCCTAATTCCTCAATAAACCCTATGGCAATCAGATTTCAACATTCTAAGTAGATACCATGACTTAAAAGGTATCTAGGTTCCCAACTTGCCTCTTTAACTACTAAGCCAAACAAACAACAATCAACGGTAGCGAATCGATCCCTCAGGTTCCTTTTCTTCAAAGTCCATGATGTGATCAATTGGCATCATCAAGTCTGATAATTAGCCCAATCTCTTTTACTAAAATTTGTAAGTAAAAATACATAGGATGCTCGAATCCTTCGCATGGATGATGATCAATGGGAAAATCAATTCTAGTGATACCATCCAAAGGGTCATGCTCCTCTAGCTTACAACCTCAATGGTACATTCTTTGCAAGTAGTGGAATCCTTTGTTAATTCATTGTTTTTCTTTTTCTCCTGGCATCCAATGAAGTACGCATACCGACGGTTTCCAGTCAAAGTCGCATGCTAGCACGCCCTTAAGGGATACTAAGAAAAAGGCTCACCTGTTGCTAATCAAGACTTGGAAGATAAAGAGAACAGGAATTCTCAAGAACAACTTTCTTAAGTCTTGATAGTTTTGAAGTTTAACCAACACCTTGCACTACTTTACGTTTCACTATGGATCCTCTTCGTGCAGCCTCTCACTAATCTTACATCTTCAGCAATTGAAGATTAACTGAAGTGTTCTATATGGTTTTATCAGCTCCACCTATTTTCATCCTATTTTCATCGTTGTTGGTGATAGTCCAAGTGTAGAGTCTTAGAACAACTCAGTCAACATTTACCCATTTTATATCTCAATCGAAGCTGTTTTGAGACTTCCACAGCTTACAAGCGGATGAACAGAATTATGAACAATTTGAGGAAATAAACATTCATTTAAGAACAATTCAAATGAATAAGCAAAATAATTACCACATGCTTCCACGATACTTGAGGGTGTATGGACCGCTCTCCAGCCTCCTTTCAAAATGGCTATGCACCTTATGATTCCCCTTTCCACTTTGATCGAAAAGCGTCAATTCAAAAAGAGCCCTAACATCGGCGCCATCGCTGACAAGCGCTATGAAAATAGAGACGTAAGCCGCGTTGTCCTCCATACTCTTACCATCGGGATAGAAATAGATAGCCCACTCGTACCCACCGACGACAAACGTATCCGATGTAATGTATTTCCCAATTCCCATACCTTTGTTGAGGGAGTACCCATTGATCTTGAAATCATGCGAAACATTAACGGTCTCGAATCGAGCGGTAGAGGAAGTCACCGGCGGAGGATGAGAAGAATTCGAAGAGGCTTTAGAGGATTCCCTAAACGGTTTAATTGTGCCCATCAACTAAGAGCTTAAGAACAACCGATCTTTTGAAATTTTGGATGACACCCTTGACCAAAAAGGCAGAATTGAAATAGTGGGTTAGGTTAAAACTTTGAATCGAAGATGGGTTTTGAAAATTTGAAGCGAAAATCAGCGGCAACGATCATGAATTTGGGTGGCGGGAGCGTTTGAGAAACTCTTACGCGGAAGGGGAAGAGGTATGAATGGAGAATCAAGAATCAGGTGGACGACGATGAACCTGGAAAGTTCAATAAAAAAATGGAAGTCCAAACACGGAAATGGAAGATGGAGCTTTGGCTTTAATAAACATCAGAATCCACAATGAAGTTTCTCGATTAACACATGATTAATTAATTTAATCATTGTTTTGTTTTTCATTAATTAATAGTTGATCTCTGTTTTTCTCCCCCCTTCCTTTCTTACCAAATAATTGAAGGTGAGTGATCATGATGAGATCAGCAAAGGTCTCGTACTTGTCTTCAGCATCTCGTCATCGTGTGGCTTATAATTCTAAGAGGTTTTACCTCTTGAACACTTCTCGTAGAAGACCTCATCGTTGTGTGACTTATCAATGTGATTATTGAGGTTCCAATTTTCGATCTATGACTCGAATATACCCCTAATTTTAAAAGGCTATAGCTTCTGAACCTCACCCACGAGAGAGCTCATCATCATGTGGCTTATAAATATGAATATTAAGTTATACTCACATTAGCTATTAAGGATCCAATTTTCAACCTATGACTCGAGTAGACCTCCTAATTTTAAGAGATTTTTGGCTCTTAAACATCTCTCACCGAAAGGGCTGATGTGACCCATAAATATGGTTAACCTACCTATACGAGTTTATAAATGTGATATTAATTGAATTTTTAAAATATAATGAAAATATCGATTCACTTCACATGTCAGTGTCGAACCCAAATTTAGCTTTAGCCAAGGTCAAAAAAGTGATGATAAGTGATTAAATAATGGTAGGGAAGAATTAGTTCTATTAGTTTAAGAGTTGGCAGCATGATGTTGGCTTCATTTTGATATCAAATTCATGCATAAACAGTCGGTATCTTAAATTATTAATAAGAGTGTTTATATGACGGAAGACCTTGATCGACTTTAACTACTCTACCTAAATTAGGAAGGTTTAAGTTGGGTTGAATTTTTTAAAAATAAAAAAATTCAGATCCGTTCACTGATTGATGTATTGTGACTCGTAAATGTCTGATATTTAAGTTTTATAAGAAATATTTTTAATAAAAATAAAAATAAAAATAAAAATAACGGTTTAACAGTCACAATACGGTCGCCCACTTCAGAAGCTGAAAATTTGTATAGCAATTTCACCGGTGATTCAATTTTTTTTCAATTCTCAGAGCCAAATTCCGTTTCCCAGAGCTGTTCAAGTGTGAATTGAATCGGATTCTGACTGTTCTTCCCGTTCTTCTCGCCATGTCTTCCAGATTCTTCGGCGCCTCTCTTTCCCGCTCTTCAACGCTCCACCCAAAATTCCACAACCCTAATTCCCTTCCCAATTTCCCCAAATCCAAACCCATTCAATCATTCCCTCTAACCCCACGATTGTTCTCCTCCATTTCCGGAATGGGCGATGCCCGAAGACCAATTTCCGATACCATTCCCGCGCCCGACAAGGCCGACCGATCGGAATTGCTTCGATCCCTCGAGTTTTCACTTGGTTCTTCGTTTAGCTCGGAGCCATTGGTGCCGAATCCGAGCCCCTTAATTATCGTGATCAGTGGCCCTAGTGGTGTGGGTAAGGACGCTGTGATTAAACGATTGAGAGAGGTCCGAGAAGGGCTTCATTTCGTCGTCACAGCAACAAGCCGACCGATCCGACCTGGTGAAGTAGATGGGAAAGACTATTATTTCGTCTCTAAGGAAGAGTTTCTCGCGTTGATCGAGAGGAACGAGCTTCTGGAATACGCGTTAGTATATGGAGATTACAAGGGCATTCCCAAAAGGCAAATCCGGGACTTCATGGCAAAAGGGTATGATATTGTGTTGAGAGTTGACATTCAAGGGGCTGAAACATTGAGGAAAATTCTTGGGAATTCTGCTGTTTTTGTGTTTTTAATGGCGGAAGATGAACTTAAACTAGTGGAGAGGTTGATCAATAGGAAGACGGAGACGAAAGAGTCATTGATGGTGAGAGTTGCAACAGCTAGAGAGGAAGTCAAGCATGTTAACAACTTTGATTATGTGGTTGTGAATGCAGAAGGGAAGCTGGAGAGTGCTGTTAAGCTGGTGGAATCCATTATTGATGCCGAGAAAGCAAAGGTCTGGCAGAGAAATGCTGTCGTTTAGATTGAGATTTTGAGACATCATTTTGCAAGGTATCATTTACTGAAAACTTCTGTTGTGAGATGCATTTCTTTCTTAGGAAAGTAGCTATACAGATTGAGAAGGAATAGACTTATACATGCTCTGTTATAACTCTAGCTTCCTTTTTGGAAATATCTACTGCTTGATAGTATAGTATTGCCTTGATTCCACTGAAGCTTGCATAGTTTTTGTTATGGATTCTATCCCAGAAGCCTTGTATTAGTGTAGAAGTTTTCATTATTTATGTATCCAAGACCCTCGGGTGCCACCAAAGGGGTGGATTGGGGGGTCCTACATCGAATGGAGATGGGAATGAGTGCTATCGAGGATGTTGGGTCCCGAAGAGGGTGGATTGTGAGATCCCATATCAATTGTGGAGGAGAGCGAAGCATTCTTTAAAAGGGTGTGGAAACTTTCCCTAGTAGACGCTTTTTAAAAATCTTGAGAGGAAACTTGAAAAGGAAAGCCCGAGAGGACAATATTTGCTAACTTTGGTATGAAAATGGAAGGAATTTCATTGAATATGTTTGAACCTAGAGCTCTAGTGGAGGAGTATCAGTGGGATGGTTGATCTTGCTTTAAGGCCAAAACTGACTTTGTACTAACCTAATGATTTAAGAACATTTGAAAATCAACATTGCCAACTGAATGGAGTATACCAGCCACTAAACTACTTTTGGTTTCGAATTTCATGAAACTGATCCAACTGACATGTATTGCTCAGAGCTAGACACCGAACGGTGTGCTAGCAAAGACGTTGGCCCCCAAAAAGGGTCGATTGTGAGATCCCACATCGATTGGGGAGGAGAACGAAACATTCTTTATAAGAGTGTGAAAATCTCTCCCTAGTAGATGCGTTTTGAAACCGTGAGGTTGACGACGATATGTAAAGGGCTAAAGCGGACAATATCTGCTAGCGGTGAGCTTGGGCTGTTACAAATGATATCAAAACCAGATACCGAGCAGTATGCCAGCGAAGACGCTGGGCTCCCAAGGGGGATAAAATGTAATATCCCACATCGGTTGGAGAGGAGAACGAAACGTTCCTTATAAGGGCGTGGAAACCTCTCCCCTAACAAACACATTTTAAAACTATGAGGCTAACGGCGATACATAACGAGCCAAAGAGCTTGGTTTGTTACAGCTCAAATCTACTGAACTACCTAGATTCGTTCATTTTTTTCGGTTTCAGCTTGTGCTCCTATTTTTGGCTCTAACATTATGTATGTCCATCATTCGACCAGAAAACTCAAGCTAACCTATTATAGTCTAAACAGTCGTTTTTATCGTCTTTTCAAACAATAAAAACAACGCACAGGAGAGACGGTCCTCTGCAATGGAGTATGTACACCCTCCAGCTCTCATGAACTGGAGGGACCCCGCATCCAAACCTCATATAACTGGATTGGACTCTTCTGGGTACCATTTTGCATATGTCTTGACTTACAGTCATCATCATCTCCTGTAGGTGTGATTATCCTCACTTGAAAAAGGCGAAGGCTGGTTTCAACTGCATACGTCGGGTCTTGCTCGTACCGACATTCACAGTTTTATTTTTCATTCTAATACCCAAACGAAGGTTGAACTCGAACCTTTATGAAGTTCAGATTTGTGTTGGCAGTTGAACAATAATCTCAGGCAGCATAGAGAGGATTCGCTGCTCCAGGAAGGTGTGCATTTATCAGTGTACCATGGTAATGCTAATAAACTTTACACGTCCAACATGGCTTTGTAGCTATTATGATCCTAACTGAAATGACAATAAAGTTCTACCTTTCTGGGGCTTCTGTACTGTTTCTATCATATTATTTTGGGTGAAAGATAGGTGCATGTTTGAGTGTATTAGTCGAAGTGCGTGGAAATTGGACTAGGTAGGTACTCGCACGATATTAAAAGAAAGTGGGGACTGTTTTCTTCTCTTTTAACCCGGTATCACTAGACCCTCGAGAGAGATGATTGTGAGATCCCACATCGGTTGGAGAGAGGAACAAAACATTTCTTATAAAGGTATGAAAATCTCTCTCTAACAGATGCGTCTTAAAACCGTAAAGGTGATGACTATATATTAACTGGCCAATGGACGGATATGATTTGCATTACTTAATTTAGAAACTTTTGACCTTCTTCTAAAAAGCTATTGCGTTTGGATTCATTCAGACGAGGAAATCTTCTTTTTTCCATCCAAATTCAGTAGTTTCCTTGTTACCCATCATGTATTGATGTACAGAATCAACTGAATAAACATCATCTTCGAAGGTAAAGCAACTAAAATTTTGTTAGTCAGGAACTGGTTAAGATATATATCTTCAACTAGAAGATTGCAGATTTGAATCTCTACTCTTCTATATTGTGAAACTTTTTAGAAATCATGGATGAAGAGAAAATTTCATACCTTATCTCGTCACGTTGCTACGACCTCCCATCTATCATCTTAGCTAAAGTAAAAATTCACGTTATCCTCAACTTATCTAGGATGGAGACTTATACATTACTTTTGTAACAGTCTAAGTCCACCGTCAACGGATATTGTTCTATTTGGATTTTTCCTTCCGAGCTTCCCTTCAAGGTTTTTAAAATGTATCTTTTAAGGAAAGATCAACTTATCTAGGATGGAGACTTATACATTACTTTTGTAACAGTCTAAGTCCACCGTCAACGGATATTGTTCTATTTGGATTTTTCCTTCCGAGCTTCCCTTCAAGGTTTTTAAAATGTATCTTTTAAGGAAAGATCAACTTATCTAGGATGGAGACTTATACATTACTTTTGTAACAGTCTAAGTCCACCGTCAACGGATATTGTTCTATTTGGATTTTTCCTTCCGAGCTTCCCTTCAAGGTTTTTAAAATGTATCTTTTAAGGAAAGATCAACTTATCTAGGATGGAGACTTATACATTACTTTTGTAACAGTCTAAGTCCACCGTCAACGGATATTGTTCTATTTGGATTTTTCCTTCCGAGCTTCCCTTCAAGGTTTTTAAAATGTATCTTTTAAGGAAAGATTTCTACACCCTTATAGAGAATGGTTCGTTCTCCTCTCCAATCGATGTGAGATCTCACAACTTTCTAAACTTAAAAAATTATTTACAACTCGAGATATCTCATAAGATTATACGAACATAACGATTCGATTTGAACCAAAGTTTTGGGTAGAGGAAGTTGTTAAGTAAGGTGCTTAGAAAAAGGGTCTTATAACGTAAAACTAAAGAGACGCACTTAAATATGGGGATTTCCCACAGCTTGCATTTTCATGCTTGTACTCCAAGGCTTTGGGATACGCCTCAGTTTCAAAATTCCTTCTTTGCTTGGCTCTTATTTCTTCCTTTAACTTCACACAAAATAACTCTATTTCCACACTATTTCTTCTTCAATATTTTAGGTCTAACTGATTTATTCGTTCATCAACTTGAAATAGAGACGTGTTGGAGAGTTTCTGGATTGGGTATGTTTATGAGAAGGCGTTCGGGTTTAATTCGAGTTTAAATTCTATTTTGGTCTATCGATTTTTAAAACGTCTATTTCAAATTCGGAACTTCAAATAATATTGATGAACCGTTTCATATTAGGAGGAGATTTAAGACATGATTTTGAAATTGTTAAAAGTTTTTTAATGATTTAAAATCACATGCAATCAAATTGATTTTGAATTTCTACATGAAAAGTAAGAGTAAGTGTGAGGTCTCACATCGATTGGAGAGGGGAATGAAACATTTCTTATTAAGGGTGTGAAAATCTTTCCCAAGTAGACACATTTTAAAACCATGAGGCTACGCAAAGCGGACAATATCTGTCAGCGGTGGGCTTGAACTGTTACAAATGGTATCAGACAGAGCGGTGTGCTAGACACACTAAGCCCCAAGAGGAGTGGATTGTGAGGTCTCACTCGATTGGAGAGGGGAACGAATCATTTCTTATAAGGGTGTGAAAATATCTCCCTAGTAGACGCGTTTTAAAACGGTGAGACTAATGACAATACGTAACAGGTCAAAACAGACAATATCTTCTAGGAGTGGGTCTCAGTAATCATTACTTTAACGATTTCAAAATTATTCTCGAAAAAAAAAAAAAAAGACTAGAAAGTCTCCAAAAAGTAGTATTGGCAAAAAGGCACTTGCTTTGTGAATGAACTCAAAAAGTCAATACGTGGAATGACCCATTACACCATGAATGAGGAAATTGCTTTGATCAGACTTCATCAGTAAGCATTCAAAATCTACACACAGAAAACATAGAAGAAAGGGTTAAGAAGTTCTCGACCTTTTGGATGAAGGAACTCGTCTCTACTTGCTCCACGTTAAAGGGTGTTTGTTTTTCTCCAAGAACTCCAAGAACTTCTGAGTAAATCCACAGAAAGAGAAGCCACTTCACGTTACTCCTTCCATTTCCAAAACAAGCCGTGCCCACTAAGCTTTCATTGCATATAAAATCACCAGACTTCATCCATAGCTCAAACAGAAACAGCATCTCAAGTTTCATCTCACAAAAATCTTCGGCTTTTGTGATCGACTTGAAGAACATGGATGGTGGGAAATCTCCCGCAGGTGATCGGAACGACGTTCGTTTGCAGATATCAGAAACTGGCAGTGGGAATACAATGTTTGAGCCGAGGGCCAATATCACGATGAGAGAAAGTAGTAATGTGGACTTTGCATCACCAATGAAACCTGCAGTCCGTGCACCGGAGAAGAAGCTGACGCTTTTTGCTCTCCGGTTGGCGGTACTTGAGAAAGCGGCGACAGGGCTGGGAACTCTTGGGTTCATCTGGGCAACTGTGGTTCTTCTTGGTGGTTTTGCTATAACATTAGATAAAACTGATTTTTGGTTCATCACTATTATTCTGTTGATTGAAGGAACTCGAATATTCAGCCGGAGTCACGAGCTAGAATGGCAGCACCAAGCAACATGGTCGATTGCTGATGCTGGTTTAAACAGCTTTCGGGCACTGAGGGCCAGCTCCCACTTCCTGGTTGAAAAGATCAAAGCAACTTTCAAGTCAGTTATTGCATTAGGAAAGCAAAGTCGAGGTCGAGATATAAGAGGAATTTCAAATGCTAGCAACCGAGGAATGTCGGAGCAGTCGAAGATACCTACTCGGCAATGGAGCACATCAGATGTTCCTCTTTTGCCATATGCTCAATGGGTTTTCCTGTCAAAAAACATCAGCAAACTTCTCTATTGGCTTCAGCTTATATCTGCAACAGCTTGTGTGGTGCTCTCGCTAATGAAATTGATCAAGCACAACTATGGCAATATAGCAAAGGGAGACACGGACAAGAGGAATAGGCGCGCTGCTCTCAGCATCTTCTATGGCTTGGCATTGGCAGAAGCTTTGTTGTTTTTAATAGAAAAGGCTTACTGGGAATGGAAGGTTATCTTCAGGAAGGTATTGGAAAAGGTGAATAAAGAATGTGAATTGGGTCCTTCCGGCATGATCTCAACGAAAAGATTCTTTTACGACGCATATTCAAGATGTGTCAACGGAAGTATTTTCGATGGCCTGAAAATGGATATGGTCTCTTTTGCAATGGAGCTCCTAGATTCAAGTTTTCCTGATGAGCAGCTCATTGGAGTGAGGATTCTTCGACGGTTTTCGATGAACCAGAGATTTTCTGATGACACGCTTGAAAAGATAGGGGTGAATCTTGCTGTTATAGAAAGATTAGTGGAGATGTTGAACTGGAAAGACCCACAAGAAGAAGAGATCAGGCTATCAGCAGCTGAAATACTGTCAAAACTAGCAGGAAAAAAGCAGAATTCATTAAGAGTTGCTGGGATACCTGGCGCCATGGAGTCGATATCATCTTTACTCCACAACAGTCGAAGCTCCCACGTTTCTGCAGATGAAATAAGCGAAAAGAAGATCATCCACGACCGTGTGAACTATGCATTCTGGACATTCAATCACTTGGGACTTGTCATTCTAAAAAAACTTGCACGAGACCACGATAACTGTGGTAAGATTGGAAACACAAGAGGCCTCCTGCCAAAAATCATAGATTTCACTCACGCAGACGAAAGGCTATTGAAAGACGAACATGTCGCGCCATCACAGATTCAAACAGTCAAAAGATCACTACAAGTGGTGAAGATGCTGGCAAGCACGACAGGCACGACAGGAAAATTTCTCCGGAATGAGATAGCTGAGATAGTTTTTACAATCAGCAACATCAGGGATGTACTGCGGTACGGCGATAAACATCCATCACTTCAGCAACTAGGCATTGAAATCTTAACCAGTTTAGCGCTGGACGAGGATACAACCGAGAGAATTGGTGGTACTGGTGGCATTCTAAAGGAACTGTTCAGAATTTTCTTCAACAAAGAGATAGCGGAGACTCACAACCATGCAAGGATAGCGGCTGGAGAAGCACTGGCAATGCTTGCATTGGATAGCCAAAGCAACTGTAATCGAATTCTGAAGCTGGAGGTGCTGGAAAACCTGGTATCAACTTTGGAGATTCCGTTGCTTCGCGTGAACGCTGCACGAATATTGAGAAATCTGTGCATTTACAGTGGCGCAGAAGGTTTCAACAAGCTCAGGGGAGTTGCAGCTGCAGCTTCAACAGTAAGTAATCAAAATCAAACGCTTCCTTTTCTATTAATACTAACCAAATACATTTCTTTGACACTTGAGTTAATGAAACTAGTGCAAGGAAGAACAAATATTATCATACTTCTCTTCACATATGCATATATTGCATTAAAAGCTTGCTATAAATACATACAAACAAAGTTGACTGATACTTTTTCCTTTGATTCAGAAGAACTTTACATCTTCAGAATTGGTTTATACAGAAAAGAAATTTTTACACCATTCAAGTGATTATTACACCTAGATTTGTTCATATAATCCATATCAAGGTTTTAGGTTATCTCTAGGGGATGTAAAGTTTTTTTGTTTGCATCTTAATTTGTGTAAATTATATCTGGCTTATAGATTATGATTTGAAAAACTAGATTCAAAAGCATGAAATTAGTCACATATAAGGGCATTTCTAGATATAATTTACTGTTTATCATAGCGCGTTAATCTGAATTTAGCTTCTGTTTCATCCTTATCTCAATCCTTATCTTCCATTTCAGGTGGTTCGGGCAATCAAATCAGAAGAACAGAAACTACAGGAAGTAATGATCGGACTATCAGCACAAATTTTGAAATTCACAACATCCTACGAAGCCGCCATCACATTCGAGAGGGCCGGCACGACGCAGGCCGAATTGGCGGCGACATTGGTCCAGATTCTAAAGAGGCATAAAAATCCACCAACTAAAACGCCGCAGATTCGGCGATTCGTAATAGAAATGGCGATTTGGATGATGAGGGAAAAAACAGAGAACATACATTTCTTCGAGGAATTAGGGATGGCGAAGCAACTGGAGGCCGTCTTGGAAACCACTTCGGAGCTTGAAAGCTTCAACATCTTCTCCGGCACCGTCGGGCTGAGCCGCCACCGCATCACGATGCATTCGCTCGCTGAAACCGCATTGGGCCTCTTGGGAAGATGGTGATTCGCACCGTTCATCTGGAAAATGGCGTTAATTGGCGCCATAAATTCTCTCCATAATTCTTTCTTTAAAAAAAAAAAAAAAAACCGAATTAAATTATACAAAAATATCTAAACATATGAATATGTTTCAATTATGTTTATACGCTTTTGAAAAAAGTTTCATTTTTATTCTTGAATTTCGAAATTATTTTAAAGAAATATCTTTTCCATTAAAATAAATATGAAAAAACTGACCGTAAGGTGATGTTTGAAAATTGAAGAGTAAAATGTTGAGGATTATTGGGAGCTAGTCACACATCAGCTAATTTAGGGAATGATCATGGGCTTGTAAGTAAGGATTACTGTTGGTATGAGGCCTTTTCGAAAAGCACAAAGCAAAACCATGAGATCTTATACTCAAAGTGAACAATATCATACCATTCTGGAGAGTCGTGATTCCTAACATGGTATTAGAGTCATGCCAATAGAATCCGGCGTAGTCAAAAGTGACTAAAGTGTCGAATAAAGGGTGTACTTTGTTCGAGAGCTCCAGAGAAAGGAGTCGAGCCTCGATTAAGGGGAGGTTATTCGAGAGCTTTATAAGCCTCCTAGAATTCGGTGTTGTCAAAAGTGACTAAAGTGTCAAACAAAAGGTGTACTTTGTTCGAGGACTCCAAGGAAAGGAGTCGAGCCTCAAGGGAGGCTTTTGAGGCTTATAGTGTACTTTGTTCGAGTGAAGGATTGTTGAAGATTATTAGGAGTGAGTCCCACGTTGCCTAATTTAAGAATGATCATAAGTTTATAGGTAAGGAATACTATCTCCAATGGTATTTATAAAATATAGAATTAAAAATTTAAGATTCTATAAAACATAAAAAAAAATTTAAATTTTAATAAATATAAATTTAAAATTAAAAGTTGAGAGACTAAAATTATAATTAAAGTGTTTAAATGGTTAAATATTAAAATATATATATATATATTTAATTTGTATTTAAGAATTTAGAAATGGTAGAAATTCATGAATTTAAGGAGAAATAAATATTAAAATAATTTGTGATTCTCCACCTCCCTCAAACATATTTTAATCAACCACCATATGAATCAATGGATCAAATTGAAACAAACAATAAACAAAGAAGTAGAAAAGTTGAAACTAAATTAAATTATGTAAAGGATTAGTTTATCGAGTTCATAAGATTCTCTCCAACTCATATAGTTTTCAGCCGTTAAAAGCTTATTAGGAGTAATTTAATGCTTAAATCAGTCAAAATCAAGCAGGATTCTTCAATATTCAACGAGAAAACGTTTGAAGTACCTTTTATCTCTCGATTGCGAAAACTCGATTTCCTCCATTCATCCCGCGGCTCTATCCGCTTGCCAAAAGCCAACAAATGCGATTCAATAGGATCTTCGCCTCCATTTTAACACCAGCCACAAGGAATCTCTATCTCTACTCTGCATTCCTCCATTATCGGTGAAACTCAGTTCCTGGTCTGTGTTTTCCGGCCGCTCTCCGGCTGTTTTCCGGTAAGTTTTTGGTGTTTTCACTATCTGGATTTGTGGTTTTGTTGTGGATTCTGGCGAATGTGGCCTCGTTTTACAGTCCGATCCGTTTTTTCTTCTGATACTATTTGTCGACTGTTGCTTTGTTCTTGGAATCGTCTGAATGAATCAAATGAACAGATGACTTTGCAGTGTTTAGGTCTTTCATTTCATTGACTGTGGAGTTATGAACTATGAACATTTGGAGGATGAACTGAGAAGGATGTTCATCTTTTGAGGATGGATCTTCACTTTTGATAAGGATTATGCTGAAATTTTAGGTTTGTTTGAAGATTTTGATCTTTGAGTGCTCTCTTTTCAGCTAGGTGCAAACAATGGCTCAAATTTTAGCTCCATCCGTTCAATGGCAGCTGAGAACTAAGCAGACTTCTATGAGTGCAAGCTCCATTACCCCTAAGATGTGGAGTTCTTTGCTTCTGAAGCAGAGCAGTAAAGTTGCAGTGAAGAGCTCTGCAAAGTTCAGAGTCTTGGCTCTCAAATCTGATGGCAGCACTATCAACAGGATGGAAGAGCTGCTTAATCTCGACGTTACTCCTTATACCGACAAGATTATTGCTGAGTATATCTGGTATATCTCGTCTTCTTTGCTTATCATGTATTTAACTTGTCACACTGCAGATTAGAATGTTTTATGTGAGGTTCTACGTTGGTTGGAGAGGAAAACGAAACAATCTTTATAAATGTGTGGAAACTTCTCCTTAGTAGATGCGTTTTAAAAACTTTGAGGGGAAACTCGAAAGAAAAAGTCCAAAGAAGACAATCTCTGCTAACGATGGGCTTGGGCGGTGAAAACTATTTTTCCTTTTAACGATGAATAAAATCTTAACCTTTGTTGTTTCGCTTCTGATATAGGATTGGAGGATCTGGCATTGATTTGCGTAGTAAGTCAAGGGTATGATGTCTCCTCGTTCTGATTAAACAGTAAAAATCTAACACTTCAATCGACCTTTGTTGTTCTTATTACGTTTTGTTCGTGATTCGATATTATCAGACCATATCGAAGCCTGTTGAACATCCATCTGAGTTACCAAAGTGGAACTATGATGGATCTAGTACTGGACAAGCACCTGGAGAAGACAGTGAAGTCATTCTATAGTATGATCTCTAAGACATCAAATAATTACTTCTTCATCATATAACAGTTAGTACCTTCATTTGACTATCATGAACTTATCATTTTTATATCCAGTCCTCAAGCAATTTTCAAGGATCCATTTCGTGGGGGCAACAACATTTTGGTGAGTGACACAAGGTTTAAAGAGCAGCCTAAACTCACTACTAGTAGATATTGTCTTCTTTGAGTTTTTCCTTTCGGGCTTTCCTTCAAGGTTTTTAAAATGCGTCCACAAATGTACCCGAGTCAGTCACCGAACGGTGCGAGGCACTGGTTAGAGTAGAGCTAGACTCTCTCCATAGTAGACGTTTTTTTAAAACTTTGAGGGGAAGGCCGAAAGAAAAAGTCCAGGGAAGTCAATAGTCAATATCTACTAACGGTAGGCTTGGGCGGTTACATCTAATCTCCATGCTCATTGATCGAAGTTTGTTTCAATATTATATATCTGACATATGTACGTTCTTGTCATCCAATAAAGGTTATTTGTGATGCATACACACCAGCTGGTGAGCCCATCCCTACAAACAAACGCCACAGAGCTGCTGAGATTTTCAGCAACAAGAAGGTTGTGGATGAAATTCCCTGGTTAGTTCTCCGATTAAGTCGAGTACTCTTTGCAGTACTTAATGAAAAGCAATATTTAACTTTACATAACTGATTATAGCAATCCTTCATGGTTGATTACTTGTTTCTAGTCTCTTGTATTTTCTGATGTTTATCCCATTTCTATCCAGTTTTCTCATCCTACTACAATTTCGAGTCCCATTTCAAGTCCCATGATCTTCTAATGGAAATGCGTGTTTGTAGTTAAGAGATGACCTGTTTGCCATCCTTCTAAGATGGTCGTTTGTTAGGCCCCGAAGGGGTGGATTGTGAGATCCTACATCGATTAGAGAGGGAACCAAACATTCTTTATAAGGGTGTGGAAACCTCTCCCTAGCATACACATTTTATACAAATCTCGAGGGAAAGTCAAAGAGAAAGTCAAAAGAGGACAATATCTGTCAGAAGTGAGGTTGGGTTGTTACATGAACATGATTTTCTTTTCGTCTTTTGGTGTACTTATCCAGTGCAGAATACTGAAACCATTGTAATTCAGGTATGGTATAGAGCAAGAGTACACCTTACTTCAAACAAATGTGAAGTGGCCTTTAGGTTGGCCAGTTGGAGCTTATCCTGGTCCTCAGGTTGGAATTCTTTTGATATCATCTTTACAGTTTCAGTACCGTGCATCATAATACAATCTATCACATCAACTTCATCTGCAACGAATTCTTGTTCATGATAGGGCCCTTATTATTGTGGTGTTGGAGCTGATAAGTCGTTTGGCCGAGACATATCAGATGCCCACTACAAGGCTTGTTTATATGCCGGAATCAACATTAGTGGCACCAATGGAGAAGTCATGCCTGGCCAGGTTCTCTCTCATTCTCACTTATGTCTTCAACTATAAACATAAAGCTGCTATATTGCAATTCATGTAATCCATTAAACTTGCTATAATTTCCATGCAGTGGGAGTATCAAGTTGGTCCTAGCGTCGGGATCGAAGCTGGAGATCACATTTGGTGTTCTAGATACATTCTTGAGGTAAATCATCCCTGTTTACCCTTGAGTCTGTATAGTCTATAGTAGATGGTTAAACAGAACCTTGGAGAGTCCAAACTTCTTTCCTTTCAAGTGTTTGTTGATGCTTATTAGTATATGGACTCCTGTTTTCTTCTTGTCTTGACAGAGGATCACTGAGCAAGCCGGGGTAGTTCTCACACTTGATCCAAAACCAATTGAGGTAGCTTGGTTAACTTAGGTACTATTTATTCTTGATATTCACTGGTCAAATGGACTTGTCTGATTCATCTTCATTGGCAGGGTGACTGGAATGGAGCTGGATGCCACACCAATTACAGGTAATTGGATGCGTTCTCTTTCATTGAAGAACAATGCAACATTCATATAATTAACGGCAGATCCGTTCTTATACAGCACAAAGAGTATGAGGGAGGAAGGAGGCTTCGACGTCATAAAGAAGGCGATTCTGAATCTGTCTCTTCGACACAATGAGCATATCAGTGCCTATGGAGAAGGGAATGAGAGAAGGTTGACAGGAAAGCACGAAACAGCAAGTATCAACACCTTTTCCTGGGTATGTACTAAGATCTTCTACACTTGTTTGTACTGAACAGTAATATTTGGGACATGTTTGAAGTTCTGTTGAAAATTTCAACTGCAGGGAGTGGCTAACCGTGGCTGTTCGATCCGTGTGGGTCGTGACACTGAGAAGCAAGGGAAAGGTATTTGTTACCTCATTACATGAAGAGAAAGAAGTTCTCCTTCCAAGTGATTTTAGGCCTTAGCTTTGTCCTTGAGTATGCAGGAAAGCCAAAATTCATTGATTTTACTCTGTTCTT